TCTATGGACAGATAAATGGAGGAATGGGGTGGGTGGATGGGTGGCTAGGTGGGCACAGTAGGTGGACGATTACAGCTGGGTGGACAGTAGGTGGGCAGTTACGGGGGGAAGGGTGGGCAGACAGATGGGCGAGTGCTCCCCGCATGGTGGAAGCAGCTCTGGCAGCGTAGAAGAAAGTTCCGCACAGCATTTGGGTGTTGAACTTTTTTCCTTACGCCAGTGGGAACTAGGGTCAAAGTGGAAAGAGCAGGGAGCAGGTGGAGGGGAGGGGTGAAGGGGGGTGAGTGGCAGCACCCTGGCCTGTCTCTGGCTGAGGCAAGAGCCTGGAGCACAATGCTGACTCACATCCCCGGCAGGGGAGCAGGCAGAGACACGCAGGCACAACCGTGCATCTGGGGTCGCTGAGCGGCCGCCTCTCCTGGCAGAAGAGGGACTAAGCTGGAACTTAAAGGTGCTCACTGGGGAGCAGAGGGAACAGCACAGCCTGGCCAGGTCCGAGACAGACTGGAGAGCAAGCTGGTGGGGCTAGGAGGCAGAGGCAGGAGGACTCTGCTAGGACCAGGTGCTCCAAGTCCTCACTTTCAGACAGGCCTGGCTGCCCTGGCCCCTCTGCAGTGCACCCTCCCCAGCATCCTCCTGTGAGGCCCAGGTAGGTCTACCCCATGCAGAGGACAAGAATGAGTCCAGAAAGAGCTGCCGGGGTCAGTCAGAAGGGGGCTGGACCAGGGACCCTAGGGGTACAGTACAGCCAGACAGAGGACATCACTGTCCCTTGCCAGGGCAGGGCCGCTAACCTGTCTCTCCCCCACCGTCTGTGTGTACCCCATCAGCCCCCTGTCATCATCCAACCTGGGGGCACCTCCATCTGTGGGATCCAAGGTGTCCAGAGCTCCCGCTGGTGACGGCGAGCTGTTTGGATTTCGTCCCCTGGTTTGGCTGTGACAACTCACCCATTTCACACTTGGCTGTTCATTTCGTTTTGCTCCCTCGTGACCAAAACATTCAGGTGTTGCTACTGAACATCGTGGTTTGCTTTCCCGGTAGGGCCCCACCCAGGTCCGTGTACCGACGGCAGCTCCCTCCCGGTAGGATCCCGGCCAGGTCCGTGCACCGACGGCAGCTCCCTCCCGGTAGGATCCCGCCCAGTCCGTGTTCCGACGGCAGCTCTTTCTGCAGAAGAGCGG